TGCAGCTTGGGGTCGCCTGATGATGAGTTTCCTCCCTCCGTGTAGTTCCTTGAGCAGCCTGAGCCCCTCATTTCACAATCCTGTTCATACAGACTTCTCTCCAGTTCCTCTGCAAAGTCATATTGATTCAGTGTCAAAACTGACTAGGTAAGTCCTCTTTCAATTATTGCTAGATGACAATCTGGAATGGGCATGGAATAGATGTTAAAATACAGTTGCAACTTTGGATGTGAAGATTTTGATGCAAGAATTTTATTTGTGAAGCTGCTTCTTAATTAGAGAATCACTTATTTCTAAGTACTTACCTGGCATTAATTTCATAGCACTGGAGGTCTAGTGTTTGAACCTAAGTCTATCCATCAACAGTTTAATCATCAACAGCTTAATGGCTTGTTTTCACTGATTTTGAAGAGCATATTTATTTTTGATACTTTATAGACTTGTGGTGTGAGTCAAGGAGTTCTGCTGTTCAGTGTGTTAAAATGAACTAAACTTCGTTATATTGCTTCCAGCAATGTATTTGTAGTGTGTACAATGTGCTCCAAGGCAATCTCCTTAAATTTTGTCTTATAAATGCAGTGACTTTCCTGTGGCTAAGCTTACATTTGATGATGAAGCTCCACGCAAACCTCCACGCCTTTTTATGATGGCCAACTCTAAAGAGTCAGCATCATCTCCTGCAGACTCTCCGGTAACCACATGGATCAATAGGGATTTTTTTTTTTCTTTCAAAGCTCAGTAGTTCTTACTTTTATTACAAAATTTTAGAGAAATACTGGAGACTTATTTCTGGAGATTGAGTCCAATGAGCTATTTTGACACAGTGTCTGCAGAAAAGAACTGCATCCACATATATCCATACATATCAATGTATGTGGGTGTATGTGTGTGTATATTTATATATAAATAAAAGCTACTATTATAAGTTGCCTTTCCTGGAGAAGCAAAATAGATGTGAGAATACTATTACTATTCACTGGTGTATGGGGATACTCTTATCTGGCCATAGATTATATTTTTTTCATGCTGCTGCTCTCCCAGCAGAGATGATGACTGATTGCAGCATTGCAAGGGCTGTTGTCGTGCTGGATGGGGACATGGGAAGAAGTTAGAATTTGGGTTTTCATGTCCGATTTGGCATTTCCAGAGAATGACATACAGTAACTTTTGGTTCCTAGTGCCTGAAGAGGCTGCATGTTGAGGAGAAGTACTGCAACTCCACTCTTGAAGGATTTCCAACCCAGGCACCCCTAAGGTAATGATGGACAGCAGAGACTCTCTTGGGATGCATGTGAGAGGCATTGGGCTGAAATGTTAGTGTGTGCAGTCTAAAATTGTCCAAAAGATATACTTTGGATTCTCAGCAGCAGACTCTTAGTACCAAGTGTAGGCAGTACCAGGAGAAGTCACCACTGTACTTCCCTTGTCCAAACATCTGCTGAGCCTTACCTGCTTATTGACCCCAATACTTATTCTTTAAATAGACTATACAGTACAATGTAATAGGTGTGGTTTTTTTTTTTAATAGAAGATAAAATCACTTGACTGTCTTCACATAGATCCTCATGCTTAAGTGTTGGAAATTTTCTGGTGTAGCATATTTGGGCATGTCTGAATTTACAGTAGAATATTTCCAAAATACCTTTGATGCTGCTTACACTATTCTTTCTCTATTGGTATGCAAAATGCATTCTCTTTCACTATGTATATGCAGAGGCATAAAACAGTAAGTTGTTTATAGCCTATGTCAGTTATTTGTAACATTTAAACGATGGGGATACGCAGCGCGAAGGTTTTTTTTTTTTTTTTTAAAAAAAAAGAACAAATACTTTCACATAGTTTAAATACTTCATAGGTGGGATCATAGAATTACACCCATAAGGTCATCATCACTTTTGAGGGCTTCCATCTCCAAAACCTTGGAGGGAAGATGCAGTCAGGCATGTATCTACCCTCCCTCTGGGTAGGGAGGGAGCATGTGCAGAGCCCTTCATTTCATTTGTCAGGGGAGAATGGAGCGTCTGCTCCTGTGTAAAGATGATCCTGGACTAAAGCTTTTAGTTGCTTTTTGTATTATTCTTTTCAAGCAATTCTGCAGCCTGAGTTTCCCTGGAAACACCTTGTGACTGATAAAACATTTTATAGCATCTTTTTATTCAGCTGCATATATATATATATATATCAATATATCAATTGATATCTCTCTCTCTCTCTCTATATATATATATAATATATATCAATATATATATCAATCAGCAACCTTATGTCTGTTTTTTTTTCTGCCATTTTGTTTCCAATTCCTCTTTGAGAGCTTCTTGTCTCAATATGCCTGTGTCCTACCAGCACTCGATATGTGCACACTCCTGTCTGATTATCACAATTCCTGTTGAGCCTGCTGAAGGAAGTGTAGGCAAAATTTAATATTACTACCCCAAGGGTAGGAAGCAGCAGGAAGTGAGCATTGGAGAGGCAGAATTGTTGCTCCTGTTGCCAGTAGGGATGGGAGGCAGAGACTGCTACTGCTGGGAGCAGTTTCCTCAACCTAAAGCGCCCTGCTCCCTTCCTCAGTGGCAGAGCACTTCCTTGAGTAGCAGCAAGTCTTAACTTTCCAGCATTTCAGCCTAGAAGAGTGGCTGAGGCAGCTCTTTGCTTTGCACATTTGTCATACAGAGCTTCTGCCCTCACAAATACACACTTCTTTGGTTCCTGCTTCTACATCATTTGGATATTGGCTCAGATTTTAATTTTTTATTTTTTTTTTCTCCTGCAGGAAAAGAGCAGTTCAGGTTGAGGATTTTCACTGTATTGCCATGTTGGGACGCGGACACTTTGGGAAGGTAGGACAGAAATGCAGCCTTGGTGGAGGAGAGTGGTAGGACTGTGGGTGTGAAGGTGGGTTTCTGCCTCCAAGTCTGAATAGAAACATAGTACCAAAAGGTTTGTTGCAATGCAGATACAGAGAACAATAGTACAGCATTTCTGTTATCTTTCAGGTGCTGCTGGCCCAATACAAAGCAACTGGGAAGCTGTATGCTATCAAAGCCTTGAAGAAAAAAGATATTATTAACAGAGATGAAATTGATAGGTGAGCTTTATTTAGAGGTGGTACTATTGCCAGACACTGCACTATTGCACCTGAGTCAACTGTTGGTAGGAATGACACCTGCTAGTCTTGGTACGATTAAGGTTATGAGCGCCCTTAAAACTAAAATCAGAAGTAGCATCATGCTTATAACAGTGCTGCTGCCTAGCTTCTGGTGGAATTATATTCACCTGAAGAACAGGCTAAAATCCAGGGATGGAAGCATATAAGATAAATATTTGTAGAAGGCCACGTAATTATTATTGTTGTTATATCTGCAGCATAAGGTGTAAAGATTTCCTTCGTCGTTCTGTCTTTCTCAAATCAGAACTTTCTGCCAAGGCTTAACAGTCATTTTCATTCTTTGTATCCTGGCAGCTTGAACTGCGAGAAGCGAATCTTCGAAGTCGTCAATTCTTCTGATCATCCGTTCCTTGTGAATATGTTTGCCTGTTTTCAGACACCTCATCATGCTTGTTTTGTGATGGAATATACCCCAGGTGGTGATCTTATGATGCGCATACATGAAGATATCTTTCCAGAGCACATGGCTCGGTGAGTCAGACTTCATCTACTGTTACAGGCACTGTAATTTTTTAAACTTGATTCACATGTATCTTTCCTTGTAACTATTACTTTTTTCTTTTAGGTTTTATACGGCCTGCGTAGTCTTGGGACTCCAGTTCTTGCATGGGAAGAAAATTGTTTATAGGTAATGCAGCAAAGAATCAAGTACAGGACATTTCAGCAACCCGAAAGTTTATTTTTCCTGCAGCTACATATTTGGATCTCACTGTCTTTCTAGAGTTTCTGATCCTTCTGTCTGTTTACCTTCCCCATCTCCTGTTGCTATCAGTGCATGTTCATCATTTGTGTATTCATTACCTATGGTAAAGAAAGTCATCTAGATTTTCATCTGACGTGTTGCAGGTGATTCATCTTCTGTGATAAGTCAGTACATTCTGGGGACAACCGTAAGCCATTGCTTTCTTTTGGATTGAGACAGTTGAGTAATTTTCCTGTTACTGTGAGATGCCCTTTTAGCAGATGAGTAAGTCCCATGTAGCTCTAAGTTGCTTTATGAGCCTTTCATTAGGAGGCAGATGCTAGTAAAATAGCTTTTTAGGTGGAATCTTTCAAATACTATTTAATTAACTTACGTCTCTCTACTAACATCTGCCTTTTTCGCAGGAAGCACAAACTAGTTGGATGGCCATCTCCAGACTTGATCTCCTGTTTTATTTCCCTTTCTTTGCCCATAGGGATTTGAAATTAGATAATCTACTCCTGGATGCTGATGGCTTTGTGAAAATTGCAGATTTTGGACTGTGTAAGGAAGGTGAGTCATTCTGGTGAATCCCAAGTTGAACTGTCAGGATGACATTTAGGATCTGCAGTCTTCTAGTAGTGCATTATCAAGTACAAATATGGAGGTGGCCCTCTTTAAGTGTTGTGTTTATCTAAAGGAATCTTATCTGTCTGGTCATAATGAACTGCGAAAGAATATTTTTGTCTCTGCTCTTCGGGCAACTTACCAAGGAGTTTACAATATACATTTTTTTCCAGAAGGAGCCAGGATGTAGAGTAATACAAGATGTGTTTGTGAGTGAGCAGTGGAGTCTTCAGGAAGCTTCACTGTTTGTTTGTTTTGAAGTGCCTGTATATTTCTTACTTTAGGTTCAGAGGTGTTATTGTTGGGACTCCATTGGGAGTCTAAATGACATTTACCAGAATAGATAAAGAGCTCTTGCACAGCTAAGGGCTAAGCATTAGTTTATCAATGTGGCTTTCAAAGGATAGGACTGCGTGTTTCTGCTGGATTTTACCACACTTCCCCCCCAACAGGAATGGGTTTTGGAGACCATACAAACACCTTCTGTGGCACTCCGGAATTCTTGGCTCCAGAAGTCCTGACAGACGTCTCGTACACCCGTGCAGTAGACTGGTGGGGATTGGGTGTACTCATTTATGAGATGCTTGTTGGTGAGGTAAGACCACCTTTCTTTAATGGAGCTTCACCAAGCAATCTTGGGGTTGTACCTGATCATGTGAGGTAAAAATTTGGTGGAAGTGGCCAACAGCTATTCAGCGTTTAAAATAACTTCAGGCATAGTTGGGAGCTCCTCATGCATTCAAACTATGAGTCTTCTACTCCTCTATATGATTTTTTTGAAAACAGCTCTAGCAGTCTGATATTCCCAGTCTTACCCTTGGCCTTTTTGTTTTAACTTTTAGTGTTTTACCACATTTTCTCTCGCTTATATTTTCTGCCACTTGTTAATCCCTACAACTCTGCCTATTCTCATCTCTTATTTTGTAGTAAGAAAGAGGTGCTATGTGGGTTAAGTAACAAAAATCTCACAATTGCAGTCACCATTCCCTGGAGATGATGAGGAAGAAGTCTTTGACAGTATTGTCAATGATGAAGTCCGGTACCCGCGTTTCCTTTCGTCTGAGGCACTTTCTATAATCCGCAAGGTAACAGCTGGGAGTTCCTCTGGATCCTGAGAAATTTACATTTATCGTTAAGCAGATCCAGAAGGACGTTGTTCAGGCGAGACAGCATCTGTGTGTGTAATCTGGAGCTGCCTACACAGTCTAGGGAAACATTTAAAATTTACATGTGTAGTTATTTTTCCCATTTTTCTTTCTACATAAATGCTACTCTCCTGGCTCAGGATGACTAAGCAGACTTCTGACTGAGGGCTGTTGCTGCTAATTCTGAAATGGTGAAGCATTGATTCAAGAGCAGGAGTAATCTGATGGAGATGGCTTGATCGTTTTTTAAATGTGATCCATTCATCATGTGTGCATGATAAAGATGAGATGCTACATGCAGTTTATAGCTGTCTTACTGATAAGACATTTTTTTAATGAAATTTTGTCATTTGTGAACAATAACAATTTTGATTGCAAACTGTATATAAAGAGCTATGTCTGAACTACTACAAGCAGTTGAAAACCTTGCCAAAAATGGAGTATTACTTCTGCCCATCCTTGTTCTGGGTGTTGAATTTTGAACTGTTTTTTTTCTACAGCTGCTTCGGAAATGTCCAGAGCGTAGACTGGGAGCAGGGGAAAGAGATGCAGAAGAAATTAAAATCCAGGCTTTTTTTAAGGTAGGAGCTCCCTTTATCCTTCCCCTTCATCTCTTGTGTTTTGAGCTGAGTGATTTGCTTTATATTGATATTGAGGCAAATTTCCATTAGTTATCAGTGACATCTTAATGGTAGTTTCTGTTGCACTTTGTTGCTCTAGTCAGCAGTAAGTGTTTCAAGTCATGTTGGAAATGACATCTGCCAAGTGGGTTTCCTGGGATCTGTAAGCTCCCAGGAGCTTTATTACTTCCGACTGTGCTACTTCTGTGTGTAAATACACCTACCCTCTGTGCCATCAGCAAATACCCCGTTTTAGGTCAATCTGCAGCAGTCAAAGATCCAGTCTAATGATGACAGTGATTGCCAGTATTTGACACCTGCATTTGCTGAATATACATGAATCATAAGAGAAATTGAAGTTAAAGAAGCACATGCTTGGGTTCGAGGGTGCATGGCTGTCTGGGCAAAGATGTTACTAGAAATTATTAACCTCAAAGTACCTGCCTGGCTTTGCAGTGGAGTAAATGAAGAACTCTAATGTTGGTACCAATTGCTGCTAAGTCTGCTGATATGCCTGGCTTTATTTTAGTCGTCTTCCTTCTGAATATAGTTTGAGCTGTAGCATCTTCTGATGCGTGACCTTGGGCCATGTAGAAATATATCACCTGGCCTGCACCATGTTTGGTGTTATGGTTTTTTATTTTTTTTCTTAGTAGGAATTAGGCTTGTTATCCTATCTGGGAGACAGCCTGCAATAGTTCCTCTTACTTTCTATCTTACATTGACACTAAAATTATGAAATCTGGCCTGTTCACTTTGTTCTTTACAGGAAATTGATTGGGATGCCTTGCTTGCCAGGAAACTGAAGCCCCCTTTTGTGCCCACCTTAAAAGCTCCGACTGATATTAGCAACTTTGATGAAGAGTTTACATCGCAAAAGCCCATTCTGACTCCTCCAGAGGAGGTTGCTGTCCTAACCCGTAAGGAACAGGCTCTCTTCAAGGATTTTGACTTTGTCTCTGCACATCTTTTAGATGTTTGACTGCTGTGCTGAAAGAAATATGAACAAGTCATCATCTTGACATGGGCAATGAAAAAATCAAAAGGATTCACAGAACTAGTAGTACTGATGACTCTGGGAAGACAGTGTCTTACAAGCTGAGTTGCTCTCCTGTCTCTTTTCAGTCTCAGCTTTTGGATGGATACTGGATGTGAATTACCTTTAGTAGTAGTCAGTTTTTGACTGGGTATGTCATTTGCTGCCATTAAATAGAGATGGAAAATGGGAATTTAAACTGGACTTAATGAAACCAAATCTTCCCAGGTTACTCTTTGCAAAGAGCCTCAGTAAGTGGCATAGCTCTCTTAAGCTGTGTAATAGCAGGGGGAATGAACATCCTGCCTGTTTTCTAGAAGAGATATGCAATGTTCTCTTTCTGTAATGTTTTTTTTGTTGTTGTGTTTTTTTGTTTGTTTTTGCACATTCCTATTCATAGGTATAATATGCAAGGAAAAGAATGGATTTTAATACAACCAAGATAATGAAGTTTCAGTTTGATAATGATCCAAATGAACTATCTTAAGGAGAAAGACTACTTCTTACTTGATGATGCTAAATCTTAGCTATTGTTTTTAAATATAAAACCCCCACAGCTTTGCACATGGTATTCTTGAAAATAAAGATATTCTTCCTTATAATGAAGTTGCAGTTTCTCATCTCCTTTAGTGTTAAGTTAAAGGAATGTGTTTCAGATCAGGGCTAACCATGTTCTGCTCTATAGAAAAGGGTTTTATTTCTCTATGTAAATGTCACAGTAGTATTTTATTTCCTCCTTCCTTCTCATTTCTGTTGTATATATTGCATCAGGTAATCACCTATCACATTCAAATGACTGCAAGTAAATTTTCTCTGACATTTTTATCTATGCATGTATCTCCTATTATTTGAATATTAATATAATAACTATTTTAGTATTGGAAAAATTGGTTCCATTTGCCTGGTACCCTATCATGTGTACTTAACACTTGATAAGATGCATTTTTCTTATTCATTAGAGTAGCATGTAGGGGGAAAAAAAAAGATAAGAGAATCTAGAAAGGAAATAGCCTACTGAAAAGAACTAGTTAAACACAGCTATTACTCTTTGCTTTATCTTCAGCAGAGATAGACAGAAGCTGAACTTACCACAACTGTGTTATTCCTGGAGATAAGGCTAGAGTGCAGCCAGTGAGTAGCCCCCATTAAATCAAGTCTGGTCTAAGCGCTTCAGGATTCAGAGAGGTAAGAGTATATGTTAGCATGTAACAGAAATAATTCACTTAGAACCTAGTTCTCCTATTGTCAGAGCCAAGTGTAATTGCTTCTGAAAATTTCAGAGTATGCTTTCAACCTCCCGTTTCTGCCTTGTAACATAATGGCCCATTTCAGGCAGGACAGATCTTCCTCATCTTTGTTTAAATAGTAATGCTTGGTTTGTTTTTGGTCCATACAGTGCTATTTTGTGGCTTTTTTTAAGGTCAGAACTGCTGGAAAGTAAGCAAGCAGTACAGTGAATTGTTAGCGCAAGAGAAGCTAGAACTTGGGCTTTAAAGGAAGAGGCATAAAGAATCACAAAAGGAGTATTTAATCTCTTTAATAGTTTACAGTAGAGTAAAAAGACTGCAATTTACCATCCATCTGCGTTAAAAAAAGAATTGCCAAACAGAGCAGTAGTGTGTTTTCAATATTATTTGGCTGATAACTGAAGAACCAGAAAGAGCTAAGTGGCAGATGAGCCTTACTTTGGTAGTGCCATAGTGATATGAATAAATTACACAATCCATTAGGGATCGTACATCATTACTATGAAGACAGTTCTTAATATTTTGGTAGCCCTCTGATAGAGCTTCTGCCCTGAGCAAGCCCGACTGGATACAGATTGCAAACTCTTTCTGGAACTGGCTGAAAAAGGGATCCTTCAGCTGTTTAAACTGCTTTGGGATTACAGTTACATATCAATGACTGTACTTTCCTTTCCTGAGTGCTCATAAACCCTGAGTGCACCCTATCAGCTTGCCAGTTGTGCTCCTGAATTGGTGCTAACTCCTGAGTTAAGGAAATTAAGGCACAAAATAACTTTAGGCCTTTTTTTAAGTGGAGGGGGGAGAAGTTGAGACTAAAATTTGCACCCTGGGCCTTTCCACTTCTAAAGCTGCTACTTCAGAAGTACTTATTGCAACATTCCCTGTAATCCTTCATGGAAACCTGAAGTATGACCTATTACAATGGAAAATAAGTCATCCTGCTGCTATCCTGAAAAGCTCTTGGCACCTCCTAATGCCACAGAAATAAACAGGATGTAGAATCTTTTCTCTTATATTGAAACTTTATATGCTTTCTGTTAAAATTTTATGAAGATGTTGAGGTAGCAGTATTGGACTAGCGTTACTTGAGCCAGGCAAGAAGAAACCACCTTTACTATTAGTTGTTTGTTTGTTTTTCCTGTGGTGTATATAATAAATTAAGTAAAGGCTTTTTCCCCTAGAAGCTATGGTGAAGGCTGCGGCTTGAAGCTGTCCACAGAAATAATGTAGGCAAGTACTGCTTTTGTGTCTAGTAAAGTAAATGGCATCATTCTTGGCCAAATGCATTCAAAACGGTCTCTGGACTGTGTACAGTTTTGTTAAGTTGATGCTGCTGTTAGGAAGTGAGTCAGGGCATCACAGAGTATTAGGCTAATTATCCCAGCTGAACTTTGTGCCTTACACACGTTTCTCATGCAGTTAACACAAACCCCAAACCTTTGTGACAAGCATGAGCTTTTAAGCATGTAGTTGAAATGAAATTTGCTTTTGACTATCTGTACATTTAACTCAAAACTTTCTATTGTTTGTCCAGCACTAGTGAGAAGGCACAGTGGTTCTCAGTGAGAATGATGTTGAAGAAAGGCCACATTATATTAAATGATATTGATTCTGGCTTGCTTGTCTGTAAGAAGACCTGCTGTTTCCTAGCAGCAATAAGAAATGAAACCTTTAGGGAACAGAAGTGTACATAGCTTTTTCCCACAATTCTTGTATTTCTTCTCAAGAGATCTGGATGCAATTAACAAAAGTAGTAAGTTTAACCAAATATTTCCATTCAGTCAAAAAAATCTGGCCTTCCCAGACCAGTATTTTCCCTTTATCAGTGCCACTCATATAAAGAATAATCCTGACTATTCTTCTAGAAATGTAACTTGTTTTTATGGATGAGAAGGCTCTGGAATAAGTTGCACAGTTTGTTATGTACTGAAATTTTATGCAATGAAATGGCATCATTTGTTTTAGTAAAACTTAATCCAGCAACCTGCAGGTGTTTTGGCACTTCCATTAAGTCAGTTCTACTGTGACTAGACAGGTTCACTGTCCCTGTGAAAGTAGATTTTCTCCCATGTAGTGAGGTGGCATGAACAGAAGAATCTCCAGAGGTTGAGGATTACCCCTTGGTCAAAGGGATTCTCTGACTCGGAATGTTTCAGGTAGGAGATGCGATGATGTGACATGAATTCCCAGGTTGTGGTGTTGCATGAGACCAGATAGAGGTGTGAAATAAGCAGCAACAGGTCAACAATGGTGAATACAACTATCAGGAGGAAGGAGATGAGGAGGAAAATGTTGTGCTGCAGCCAGTCCCAGGACTGTTCAAAGTGGAGTCCTGACCTTTCAATTCAAACAGAAACGTGCTCAAGGTTAAAGATGTAAAACTAAATTATATAAGCCAACAAACTTGATGGCACACAAGTTTGACTCGCAAATAACAAATCACTGGTATATTGCAGAGATATTAATATGCTATAAACTCTTAAAATCTAAGAGGCTTAAAAGATGCTGGTTCTCCTAAATGAGATACAGTAGTCCTTAGTTAATTCTGGTCCTGAACAGGTGTACAACTTAACCCCCGCTGGATTTTCCAGTACGTCAGTTTGAGAAGGAAGGTTGTGTTACAGTAAGTGAAACAAAATTCATTAGGTTAATAATTCTTCTAAATTTAGGCTTAAGCAAATATCATTTGGATTTTATTATCAGATTCTACTTCAGTAATTATGTATCATCTACCTCTTTAATGAGAAGGGGCTCTGTAAAATTATTCCTCAGCTTAGAGGTCTCAGAAGAGCTGAGGATGCAAATGAAGGTGAAGATGAAAAGCTAATCAAAGGGCTGCTCTGTTCTGCACAAAACCTTTGTAGGGCTGTAGAAGAATCAAAGAAAAAAAAAAAAAAAGCGCAGAATTGCCGCCTTCAGGACTTACCAAGCAATGTACCAAGCCCACAGCAGAACTACAAGCTGCACGCTCAAGTAGACTACGAAGAGAGGGTGATTCTTCTCTCCTACACAATTCTCAATCCAGGGACAGTGATGGTCATAACGGCGAACACAGTGTTGGCACAGCTGGCAGTGCTTGGCTCGCATTGGTTGCTGCAGAAGAGACAAAACAGGAGCCCTAGTTCACTCCTGTTCACTCCCATTTTGTAGAAAAGGGCATTGTGCAAAGTTGTCCTCCACAGCAAGGCAGGCCCAAAAGCATTCCCTGTTGCAATTAAGGTACAACATAGTCACATTGCTAAGACAAGTAAACGGGATCATATTCCCATGGAATAGATCCAAAAGGGGCAAGATTTGAATTAAATGACTTTTCCACACCCATCTTTATTATCTCCCTCTACGGGAAGCCCAGTGTGCAAACAGCTGAACAGTTTATTCGACTAGGCTGCAGCTCTTCAGGAAAACATGAGCAGAGAGGTGGAGAACTCTCACTGAAAAACTAGTGTGCAGGATGTGGGATAGGATGTCTTTAGGGGACTGCAAAGAGGGGGGAAGTGTCTCCTCCTGCACAAGCACAAGGCATTTAGGGAGGAAAGCAGTTCAAGTACCAGGACAAAGATGAAGAAAGATACAGCTGAGGAAAGTAATGTGGATATGCCTCCTGTGATTCATTCCCTGAAGCTAGCTTATCTTCTTGCAGCAAGCTGATTTATTTGAGCAGATACTCTTCAGGAATTCATGGAAGCTAAGATAATACTGGATTTTATTAAAATGATAAGAAGCACTTTGCCTAAAGCCTAGAAATGCCTGTTTTCAATCTCCTTGAAAAACTAGTTTAACTGCTCTGATCTTTTCTCTTCATGCTATGTTTTACAATTCAGGTTTATGTTTTAATGTTTTGTTGTTTCTAGACTTCCAAACAAGCTTACAGCTGCTATGTGGTGCTATATGTTGTGCTAAGCTGCCTTCCTGACTATCAAATAACTTCAAGATAAGCTTTTATCTTTGTCAGTACAGTAAGCTGCAACTGGCATGGCAGTAAGAATGTAAAATATACTTTTCCCATGGTGGACTAAAGTAGATTCCTGTTTCTATAAGCTAGCAGGGACTTTTTTAAACCTTGGAACAGGTTAAAATTTCCATCATTACATCTTTAGTTACACAGTCCATCTCAATTACTTTTCTGTTTAGGATTGTTCCCAAAATAAATTTGCTAGTTGTGTTTGTTTTTGCTATGAGTTTTTCAGTAAGACAGTGATGCTGTGACAGAATTAATCAGATCTGTCATGCTTCCAAGCCACAGAACAGTGAGGAGCAATGGCTAAGCAAGAAAACACAGGCAACAAGAATTGTACCAATTGTTCAGAGGAAAACAGAAGTTTTCGATTAGCCCTTCCATTCCCTTCTAGTCTTATGAATACCAACCTTCACCATGCAGTAGCCACAACGTCGCATCTTAATATTGCCTGGAACTGGAACCGGGGATGTCACCATGCTCTGTTCTTCAATCTTTCCTGCCTACCAAAAAAGATAGAGGGAGTGACTAAGGATACTTCATGTGCTGCTGTCTGAAGTAACAGCAGCTATTAGCCCCTTCGGCATGACTGAGCTGTCTGGCTCCTTTTACTTCTTGAGTATACAGTGCTTGTTATCTCTACCACGAAGAATAATTCCTGGAGAAGTATAGAAGCTGCTAGGTAAGTACCTTGCCATGAAAAATAATTAAGGTGTATCCAGAGATAACAGGTTGCTTCTGCAACCATTCAAATGAATATTTGTGTTCAAGCAGAAATAACTGTTGATAAGACACCACCTGGACTCGCAAACTACATTTTGGGATGTAAATAAGCAAGTTCAGCCTCTGCTTCTAAAGATCATTATTGTGTCCTTTCAGTAAAAGCGGTGCTACTTATTCATAATCCAGATGCTTAAATTGATGGTAGAAGATTAAAAATGGAAATGCACCATTGCTTTTGTCCTATACAATCAGTAAGGCAGCAAACCTGCTGAGGGTACCTCTCGGGTACTGTAACTTGGCGTCTCTGTTTACCTTGCTTGTTTGCGTGTCCGTCCTCTGAGAGGGCAACATATCTATAAGCAGGTCAATAAGCAGAGCTGCCACGAGTACCTCCTTCCCAGCTTGCTCTTTGAGTCAGTTCTCTTTGTACTTGTTGGCAGCAGTTAGCAACACAGTGAGGCTCATACGACTTCCACGAGGCAGGAGAGGACCTGCACTGGGGTGACACAGCGCCCTTGCAACGCCAGCATGCTCCTTAGGATGCACTTAAAGTCCAGGGGATACCATTTGTGTGCCTTTCCTTCATGCTAAATGCAATGGAAACCATTTCAGACTGTTCTTATCTAGCATAGTAGGGAAAAGGCAAAAGCAAATACGTATTTTTAGCCTCAGCACTTTCCTTCCTAAAATGATTTACCTGTCCTTCCTCATCAGCCTTAACAAAACCCGGATCCATGAGGGACACCTTGAGGTAGAGCAGGACGGAGCACAGAACCAGCAGGATGAAGAGCACGGGCTGCAGCAGCTCACCACGCTCCTCTCGCCTTCGCAGGTCTGAAAGGTACCCCAAAAATATACAGGAGATGTTAAATCCCTGCAAGGCCCTTAGGATTTTTCTCCGTGCCTGGAACGAAGCTGTTCAGCACCGTTAAGGAGCGGGAAGACGCCTTTTTCCCGAGAGCTCCGCGGCTCTCCCGCCCCGGGCAGCGCCGCCGCCGTCGCACCCTCAAGGCGGAGCCGGGCTCGGCGGAGCCGCCCGCGGCCGTTGGGCGCTGCCCGGTTCCAGCGCGGGGGGCACCTTGTCCTCCCGTCAGCCGCCTGCAGGGGGTCCCTGGAAAGAGTTTTTGTTTCGTTTTGCTTTCTTCCAGTAAAAAAAAAAAAATAGGGAAAAATAATATTCCTTATGAATTTAGCACCTGGAAAGCAGCCAATTCCTTGGCAGTGTTTAATGGTAAATTTGGTATATTGTAATATTCGTGATTATTTTGGTCTGTGTTTTAGCTTTGTGACCCCGTGCTGATTCCTGTCGAGCACTGGGCCCCACAGGTTACCCGAAGTGTTTATGCAAGACAACAGCATTGAAATACTGTTAAAAATTATAGACTAAAATTACCTTCCCAACAATCATTCAAATCCCTCTTTATCCTTTTTTATTCCTTGGGAAATGCGAGAGCTGCAGAAATTACTCCAGAAACCGCACAGACAGGACCAGTGTTGGTCAAACCTCCTGTCAGAAGTTCAGAGACGGTCCTGCCTCCCGCATGCTTTAAATGCCCTGACAATGTTCCTGTTCCCTTCTTTACAAAGGAGGCCTTTCAGACCACTAGGAAGCTCAGCACATAACACCAGGCTTTGTCTATAAAAAGGAGAAAAAACTAAAGGTGGGTAGTGTCTTTCTGTTCATCTCAGAGAAGTTTAAAATCTAAAGCTTAATGAGGCTATTTAAGTAGTAACAGCATTACCCATTTCAAAGTAGAAACATCCTGATATTCCAGAATAATTTGTCTTAAGGAATGTATTCTCTCTGTCTTTGTAATTAGAATAATTTGGTATGCGTTACGCTTTTTATCTTTCCTTAAGGCTTTGAAACCTGCCTTACAGAGATCAGAGCTTATCTCTCTCTCAAGTGTTTCAACCTAATGACTGCCTGGTGGAAATTAGGCTAAATTCCAGAAGACTTCTATTAGCAGGTTTCTGTAGAAAGAATCTAGATTGTTAGGATATATACCTAGCTAGAAATGTCATGCTGCTGGAAGCATAAGGTATCTCCCTCACAATTGTACATTATCAGTTCACCAGAGGCAGTTCTGTTTCACAGGGTTTCTTCCCTGTTTAATCCACTTAGAGTCTGATCCTTTGGGAAGTTTATTGTGACTACTGAATTCCCTGGAAGCTGAACTCTTGCAGGATCAGGCTCTTAAGAAAGTCACACTGGCATTAAGGCAGACTGACTCTTTTAAACTAGAAGCCTTTTAAGCTAAAAGCTGAAGCTAGAAGTCTTTTCTTAAGTATTCACTTTCTGCCAATTACAAAGCTTAGATACATTGCAGAGTTTAGAGGCAATCTGTACAATGAAATATTGTTCTGTTTTTTTTTTCTCTCACATTGTTTCATAACAATGCTTTCTTCCTTTATGCTTCTTTTCTATTAGCATCTCTTGGAGTGATGAAGACGACAGTCACTGAACTGCACCATCAACACATGGCAGTTCTTTCCATTTTTAATGAAATATATGGCACTAAAAGAACCAGTAACGTAGCTAAGTAAACCATGTTCATAGACCAAAGGAATAGGACATTATTAAGCACTAGATTTAATACACAGCAGGTATCCCAATGGATACAACAGGAAAAAAAATCAATTTAGAATTGTAAGGAAGCAACAGTTGTGCTTTTTCTTTTTTTTTTTCTTTCTTTCTTTTTTTTTTTCTCTGTTTCACCATATACAAGCATTTGAACCAGGCTTCTCAACATCAGGCAAATTAATCTGAATGGACAGAGTAAAAGCAGAAACTTCCTCATTATAACTGAGATTATTTTCCTGAAACAAAACAAAGGAATATATATATGTGGTTAGCCTAAAAACTTTTTTTTTAACAAGAAAAGAATTACAGAGATTTAGTGACAATTATCTAAAATCAAAATATAGTCTGTTAAAGTAAGCAGGAAATCTCCATCATTCCTTTTTGCGAAGTGCTGCCTTCTCAGCCAGCCCCCATGTTGCTTTTCATCCATCACTGACAACTGTTAACCTCGGTGCTTCGTACCTTCTGGTTGTCGTGGAGACAAGCTGTTTTCTTTTAATTCTCTCTTATTTCTCTTTTATTTCCAGCACAAGCCATCTTTAACACCTGCGCTGTGTCTAGCTGCTTCTTCAGCAATCTCAAGGCCGTGTCCATTCTTTTGAAGTCGTGCCTCAGTGGAATGCCCCTATTCCCCCTGCCCTTCTTCCTGCAGTCATCAAAGGGGAATAGGTTCACAACTCCAAAATTCTTCCTCCCCCTCATCTTCTGCGGAGACCAAAGTGACTCCAACAGGAGCTCAGCGCAGATGACAAGCCTGGTAGGATTTAGTGCTGAACAGACAGCATTTGAGCCAGCAGGTAGGTGCCAGGGTGGTAACACCATGATGCAGACGGGACAAATCTGTAGTGTTACAAACAGCCATAGCCTTTAGTGCTAAACCTTCTTGACTTGGTCCAGATGAGCAAGTCTGGTACTTCTTGGTGTTAAGCATCACACAAGTAGATGCTAGTTCCACAGATTTTGTAAAAGGGAAGCACCAGCTTGCTCTCTTATCTGTTTCAGAGAAAATGGCAAACACCCGACATACTGAGGACTGCAGTGTCACCGACCTGGGCCACTGAGACCGGGAGACATCCTCCAGCCAGGAAGGAAACTACCTACAGTCAAGGTAGAGGTTTCCTCTGTTGGCACAGTCTCTGCAGAGAACTACTGAGTTGTGTTCATGCTCTGCTTGCTAAGCTATTGAATATTAAATGTACGAGTGAAAACATGAAAGTGTAAGAGTGTGAAGGGGACAACTACAGAATACAAGTTGTCCCTCTGCCATATCTTGACATACTCTGAACTGCTTTTCAGTCTGATTTTCATTTAGCAGATATAGCCCCATTCCAGATTGCTGGGAAGGATTGGTCCTTAGCTCTTCAATGTTCCCTCTGCAGTTAAGTTTCCCGGTTTATTCTTTTGCTCCAGCAAAGCTGGAAGGATTGAGAAACTTCTGGGTACCTGGTGAGTATTTCAGGTGTCCAGCTTCCCCTTTTCATGTAAGACTTTTGTAAAAATCAGCCACTTTCCTCTCTCCTCCTTTGCAGAATATTGATGTGATGGCTGGAGGTAACTGTCTTGTTCTCAGCACTGTATCTACAGCAACAATTCATTAGCTCCCCTTTGCCTCCAAAAAGTGCTTCAACTCACAGCACAAGCTTTAAGTCTAGGGTTCAAAAACTCTTCTTGTTTCACAATTAGGGAAACCGAGATACAGTTTCAAACTCCACATCACAGACATTCTGGGATATTGGTCAGATGTTTGAGAGCACCTTTCTTTCTTTTGCCCTTTTCTGAAAAAGAAGTGTTATTTTCCACCTCACAACTTTGGCTTGAAGAAATAGAAACTTGCAGCCAAAGCTCTTATTATACTGACAGGGATGCTATTTTTTTTTCCTAATGCTGTCTCTGCAATTGATCTTGCTGGTAGCCTGGCTCAAAAGCTCATGTGTAGCTAACTGTCACAGGTCAGTTTATGGCAAGTCCCCCTTCCCCCTGGGAGCAGTGACACACTTCACAGAGCAAAGCATTTCTGGCAGGCTGGCCTATCTGACTGCAGGGATTTCCATGCTGTGGTTTATTCTAAGGTAAGGCATGCCTGCATCATCAGGGTTTGCCTGATGACATGTGAGCAGTTAGAAGCAGGGTCATCTATACATGGTGAAACAAACATGTTATGCAGCCTGCAACTGGTGAGTTTGGGATACCACAGCCAGCTGCAGCAGTGGGGCTTCAGTAATGACAACTTACAGGGGTGCAAGTGTGAAGAAACTCAATCCCCTTATGTCTGTAAATCCTGACCTAGATGCAACCAAGTCATCTTTTGTTCATTAACCTTGGTGCAGTTTTGCCAAAATCTGAGGGTGAAACCTCATTGTTTGGCCCTGGTCTCAGCGCAAGGGTGAATTTTGCTCTAGCTGAGAACTCTTGAGCTCCAGCTGACTCCCAGTCATTGTAGCTACATGCTGGGGACACTGGTTTCTCATACTTGTCCCATTTGTGATGTGTCCCTTCTGCTCCACTCCCACCTCACCAGCAGTCAGAATCCCATGTGCTTCTGTTGTTTGATTTAAGATTTCAGTAGTTGCAGCTTTCACTACATGGGCATTAAAGAAGAAGCCAGCCCGGTGGGCACTGCCACATGAGGCAACTTAAAAAAGATGGCACTAGCTGGAGCAAAGTTTGACTCCCCTAATGCAGAGGCTGGTCAGCAATATTTGCAGCCTCTTCTACCTTTTCATCTAAGAGAAAGATTAACAAGCGCTACATGGAAAACAGATCTTGAAATTGGCTTCCTTGTCTCAAAGCTTGTACAGACACAAATTCTTGAGGAACAGTAATGAAAGACAGAAAAATACATTTGAATCAAATGATTGCAATAAAAGTATAATTTGTCAAGTTTTGCAGACTGTATGAAAACAATTCAAAAGTGACACAAAAATATATATGTTTGAAAAATACTTAAAGAAAAAAGTACAGATCTCACAATATCAAAACAAATGACATATGGTTAAAATGAAAAAAAAAGACATTGAGTAACACCGTGTTGGCAGAAAAAGTAAACCTCTGCAGGGCAGCTGTGTTCTGTCATTTAAAGTGTCAGTTTGCGTCTCTAGGATCTGTCTGTAATGTGCTCAGCAATGACAGCATTAACTGAGCATTAGAAGAACCTGTCATAGCAGCGAGTCAAATCTGAGAGCAATGTATACAAGGGAAGAGAGCAGTGAGCTTTACTGTGCTATCTCAGAGGCCTGAAATGTCCTAATTCACATGGCCACGGTCTCCTCTCATTGCTACCAGACATAAAATCCCTTCCAAGCGAAGGTTTGTGAATCGTGAAAGAGTCACAACAAGCAGATGGCTCTTAAGCGTGGACTGCACAATGTGGTATTGAGAGCCTGGCTGGGAGATAAACTTTGGCCTTTGGCTTCTTCAGCCATTATACCCTGGAGTGTCTCACAGGTGAAGAACACTTGAGTGGGACTCTCACGTACATCAGGATAAATTGGAGGAAAGCTGCTGATGTGAGTGGGACTGCACTGGTTAGTGCTGGTGGGAGTCAGGTAAGAATAGGGCCTTTTGTTCCTCAGAAGAGAGGGAAGACACTTGGGGTGGAACAAGAGGTGCCATCTCAAGGGACCACCTGCCAAAAGGTGCCTGAAGGCTCCTCAGTCTCAAAGGGGATGTCAGCACTTCCTTCTACAACATTTGTGCTGTGCTGAACTTTCTACAAAAGGAGACTGATTTGCCCTTGAGCATGGCTCTAGCCCTAATGCAGACCACAGAGGAGCAAAACCCCTCCAGTCCATTACTGGAACTTGTACAAATGGTACAAGGGGTGCTCTTGGCTTGGGCCTAATACAGCTTATTATGATGAGTGGAAAATCACCCTCTGGCATTTATAGCCCTTGCCCATAGAACACAACTCAAAAGGTGTTTAAGAACTGGAATTAAGATGCATAGCCCTTCAGGAATGAACCTTGTTCCTTGTTGCACCGGCTCCCTTAGAAAGAAAATGTGGCCAAGGATATGCAACGGGCTTTGCGGATCATCCCTGGCCTTCTGAGGCTGAGTGGGCTGACAGATCCTACTGTACTGCCAAAGGGGACAAAACAGAACTTGACTTTACCAGGAATGTTTTACTTCCGATAGACCCACGTAGAGTTAGCAGTGCTTCCACTAAAAGCAGTCTTCTATAAATCCCGCTATGGGAATGAATAGGCTTCAGAAGACTTTCTTCCCTGTTTACTCTATTTACAGTTATTACTAAAAAGATCAGTTCATTTGGTCTAACTCTGTGGTATCACATTCCCCAAATTCTCTAAGCAAATAAATTACTCATCACTGCCTGTAACCCTGTTTGGTGGCCAATGCCAATTCATGGTGTTCTTGTAGATATTACAGGACATTACTCATGCAATACAGTGAAAGGGAATTTTCTAAAAGTGGGAAATTTAAAAAGTCACGTTAGCGATCACACAACTAGGTCTTCAAGCTCAAGGTCTTTTGAGGCTTTCTGTGTGGTCTAAAAAAAAGGTTAAAAGATGCATAATGTAGTTGTCTTTGTTTTTTGTTTTATACAGAAATCATACACACAAAACTTCAATCTGAAACTTCATAACGAAAAAGTCCACTAATTTAATGAAAGCATTTTGTTGTGCAAAAAGTCCCTCCCCCCTCCCCTGTTCACCTTCATCTACTGAGGGTCTCACACACACACATAAAGTTTCCTTCCAACAGCCAAGTTGGTAAGAAAGAGTCCTCCCTACATACAGTGAATTAGAGAGAAGCTGGATACAGTGCTGGCAAGAGGCACTAGGTGATTGCCTCTATCTGGAAGTGTCCATGTTCTCCTCCTTAAAGTTACTGCAGTGCTCTATAACTTTCCTATGGATAAAATAAGGACAAGGAGAGAGGGCAGAGTTAAAAACTTAATGCATTACAGTAGTGGGCCAATAATAGTAATTAGGCAAATGTACATTGCTTATACCAAGCAATGTATCTTTCCTGAGATGTGCATCAACCAATATTTGAGTCTAAACTCATATACTCCACAGAAGCAGCTTAGAGCTCACAGTTGCAGTTCATGTCCTCTGAATTGCAAGCCATATTATATACATCCAGATCTGTATGTGGCCATTCATTCATCACCCCCATACCCAAATCATCAGATAACTCTGAAGTACATCAGGAAATGTGCATACAAGCATTTGCCCTTCATTCTTCTGTCATCTATCTGGGATTTTCCATTTGGAAATTTATCATTCTTGTGCTGTCTCATCACTTGTTTGCTTTCTAATCTATACACAATCTGCTTAACTTGTAACTGTATTTTGCTATATCTTCTGCAGCTTTCTGTCACCTCCAGCATTTAGCAACCCTAAAGGAGCATCTGCTGCCCCCCTAAAAGGCATGTATGCCCATGTAATCTCTACCTCTCTTGTTTCATTCCTCCTGCAGGTATGAAATTATAGCTCTCATTATCGATGACTAGAAATTGAAGCTGGCATTTAAAACTCTGAAAGGAGGACTTCAAAGGCAGGTCAGTTAAAAAAAGGTAAACTGGGGAAGCTCACGAAGGTGGTGGACTCTCCATCTTTTAAATTCTCATTTTAACTGTACAATCAGCTCTTTTGGTGACAGAGTGGTATATTGAACAAGTATGGAGAAGAGTGATGACAGAAGACTGCATAAGAGATGTAACTAGCAGGTTTGTTTCCCCTGGCTATCAAGTCACTTCTACAACACATTTCCATTTGCCTAGTGTCCATCAAACCCCTCTGTGTACTATCAATCAGTTTGTGTACTGCCCACCTATAGAAACCTCTCTAGGCTCCTGCTTCACCCCTCATAAACATTAGTGCAGGCCTTTATTTGGTAGACTTGCTCAATATAGGGAAATAAAAATTAAACTGAAGCTAAACTGAGTGTTTGATGATAGCACTTCATTGATTTCCTACCGGGCCATTTCCTTGGTCTCTTGCCGTGCTGAAGCCATTTTAATCATGTCCTTCAGAAGAGGAATCCCACCTTCTTTGATCAGCAGTGGGCAGTACTTGTCAGCTGCAGAGAAAAGAATAAAACAGGTCCCTGTGAAGCTTTGCAGAGGCAGGAGACAGGGTGGCAGGAGGGGAGTTTGCTGCATGAGATATCTCAGAACTTTTTATGGAGTCAGCCCATTACAGGTACTCTGGCTGTGAACACAGCAGCCACAGAATGGCTGAGAATATGTAAAAACACTGCCAGAAGGATGGAAATATCAAAGGTATTTGCTATGTATTACATGTCATCATTTCTGTTCCGGCTGTGCTGCCTGGACATTCCTCCACCATTCAAAGAATGTTCTCTCTCCCTGCATATAGTTAAATTGGGAAGATGACTTCTTCTAGCAAGCTCAGATCCTTCAGAAAGCAGGTTCACTTTCCAGTGAAGTGAACATAGTTTTCTAATGTAGAACTTACGGTAGACAGAGACCAGGTTATACAGTGCCCAGGTTGCCCAGTGCTGGCTGACTGGAGAGATCCCTTGTGGAAGCAGTCGAAGAATTGGTTCAAATGACCTGCACAGAAATATTGTAGAAGTGAAAAATCCAAAGGCTGCTTCTTGCAGCAGCTTTGGCATTCAAAGCAGTGCAAATTCTGTGCTCATACATACCACAGCAGTAAATCCCCTTGGCATGTCAAAGATTGTGGCATCAAAGAGTAAGCCTGTGTCACATGGCAGTGCTGGCAGGTTTACGGGCCCTACCAGCTCAGCATAAACATGTTGTCCAGAGAAATGGATGCAAAGAATTCAACTGAGTCCAGGAATTTATTTCTATCTTGTGTCAGTCATTTTCTTAGGACAGCTGAAACCCAGAAGCACTGCTCATTTTGTAGAGCAGCTAGAGTAAGATTACAGCCAGCCAAAGCTGGCTGCTCATGTGCAATGATTTCTCTGTGACTTCTGCCAACAATACTGTGTCTCCACTGCAGGTCAGGCATTGGAATACCACTCATTCTGGATCCCTGCCCAGCTCTGTGGGAATGCAGAGTACCTGATGCCTTCTTACATGAAGGGCTTTGGAGGATTCCACCAGTTATATTAACTCTTGAAATGATTTCTAGGAACTGTGTTGTTTAAATATGCCCCACAGGAAAGCTACAGCAATCCATATGACTTTCAGAAAGAAACAGATTTGAAGAGGTAAAGGGGACAGAAACCTCAGGAAAAACAAAACCAAATAACAACAACAACAAAACCTTAGGCAGTTTCAGAGAGTCAGATCCTGGATTTCTGAATTATGCAATTTCACCAAAAAGTGCCACAGAATATCTGTTGGATTGCCATATTTCTCCTATAGGAATTGCCAAGCAAGGTGTCTAATTTCAGCAGTCTGTGTGACAGACACATTTTAAAAGAAGATGTAAAACCTTCACTAAGGAATGTGTCCCTAAGGATGTTTCTCCTTCACCTTAGGCAGAGTTGGGCCGTGCCTCTTTCCTCCTGTCTTCTGCTGTGTGTTTCCCGGGACAAACCCAGCTCTTGGGTAAGTGGGCCAAGCTTCTCTATTCCTCACCTGTAATTGATATTCCTTCTGGAGTTGATGTCCCAGCTCTGGATAGCTGCCCACATCCTTTTTACTACTTCTTCTCGGTGCGGCTCACATATGCCCCAGGCCTCTGGGCCATCGAACATGATATGGGAGAGCACCCCACAGGCATTATAGGATACCTCAATGCCATCTGCTTTGCTCTCCAACAGGTTGCTACAAAGATAGAAGAGATAGCTTAGAGGTGCCTGAATGACCTTACTCAACATTTCACAGACAGAAAAGCATCATGTCTTTGATCTCAATCAGAGAAGATCACAGGAGGAAGCATCTCTGGCCTGAAATGGACACAGTGCTCTTCAGGGACTCAACTTGCAACTAGTATCACACCTAAGCTGTGCAATCCAAGCTGTCTCATGCTTTCCTTTTAGTTTTATGTGATTTTTTTTCAATTGGAAAGCAAGCTGACACATCAAATGTTTACACGTTTCCAGGTGATTCAACAGCAGAGCCCCAGCACATTTTACCCTGCCTGGGCCCAGCTGTTTGTCAGATGCATTCACCTGAACACGCTGATGAACTGGGAGGTCATGAGCTGCGGGCGGAGCTCCTTCACTTCTGCTACATTGCCCAGGAGGCCCAGCATGTTGCGGTGCAGCTCCTGTTTCTCTGGGAATTCCTAAGAGAACAAGAGATGGGATGGATTATGCAGGACTGTGAGTAATGCTGAGAACAGGCAGCTCTGGTGAAAGACTGTGCAGTGCATGTGGAAAAGCTGAGTATTTCTGAGTAGTCAGCAGTGTTCTCTAGCATTCAAGTTATTTAAAAAGAGGGAGTTGAGGCCTCTTATCCACTGCTGCCTGGCTTAAGGGGGACTGTGTTTATATATATAGTA